ATATATATATATATATATATATATATATATATATATATATATATTATACGGGTAATAATATGGTATACGCAGAAATAGATTGACCGTTTTATAAGTAATTCTACGAGGGTGTGACGTTCCATTTATCGATATGATTAGAATATAAACTGAGGTATAAATGACCGCTAATGCGAGAAGTTAGCAGAAATTTCGCTTTGTCATTTTTCTTCCTTGCTGTATGGTCGACTTATCGCGGCGCCGTTCGAGATCCTTTTAGCTCCTTTCGCGTTGCCGTGTGCATGCAATAAGCACTTTAGCACATATCGAAAATTCCATACGGTCCGCCGTTCTCGCGTGACTGACAACTGCGCAGCGCCAAGAATATTCCGTGCATGAAATCTGAATGGTGTCTATAGCGCAGATTGGAGGGTCGTAACACAAAACCCTCTTGTCTTGGTGTTTCCAGGGTGGATTATACACCGGATGCGTCCTCGTAATCGGCTTCCACGATGCGCGCCTATCATCCGCCGTCACGACGAGTACCAACAAGGACCATCGTATAAACTTTTCGAAAGGGTTTTGTCTTGCGGCACAAAACATTCGAGTGCCTCTCGTATCTACGATCGATAATCCGCGCTCGCGATTCATGGTAGCGATTACTCGTGTCCGACGGGCCAGCTTCTCGTATTGTACCCGTCATATTTGTTGGATCAAGTGAAAAAGAAAATAAATTAACTGGCGAACAAGAAAGGACACTTGCCGAACTTATCAGCCGTTTAAAATTAAAAATAAAGTTGCACGACGAGAATTTCTTGTTTATTTGCAAGAAATTCTTGTGTGTTTAATTAATTTTTAGAACGAAAGTTCTCGCGAACTTCCCGTTCAATTTACTGTCCATCGACGTGACGTCCATCGTCTTTAAAGGAAGGTTCTGATTTGATTATCGCAAAATGAAAGATCTCTACAATTTTTTTCCAATGAAATGAATAAAAATATCAATGTAGGATACTGACATACTATTTAGTGCTGCCATTTTATTAAATTTCCACTTTCTACATGTAACAAAAATTCATCTTCTAGCAAGTTTATTGGTATTTAAATTGTATTGTCCCACTAGTTTCAAATTATTACATTAGCTGTAATGTTCACCAGTTAGAGGCGTTCGCATTTAATAAACCTGGAGATGACGAAATTTCACTCTTTTTAAATAAAAAATAATTTTCTTATGCTTAAAACAATGACCAATGATAGCCAAAATTCTATATTGATATCTTTATGGATTTTTTTGAAAAAAAAATCTCATTTTTTTGCTATCTAAAGCAGAATCTCTCCTTAGCACGTAAGCGTGCGCAATCGTTTTTTAAATAAGGGCGCGTCTCGAAGTTTCAGAAGGATGCGTGTTGGTAAGAAGTTTAAGATAAGTGCCCCGTAAGTGAAATACGCATTCCATGTATCTTCATGGCTCCAGGATGCATTGTTATTGCCGTCCACCTTGATGCCTCAACGGATCAAAAAGAATTTGTGAATGCTCGTCTGAATGTCCGTTGGATCCGGACAAAACGGTATCCGCGCATAAGAGCACAAAGTGAAAGGATCATGCACGGGCAAAGCGGTAATCTCGCTACGATCGTCCGTCATAAAGTACATTTTGTTACCAGACTCCCACGTGGGAGACGCACGACAAGGTTGTAGATTCCGCGAGTGTTTCCGAGACAAATCTGCTTGCACGAATGTCCGTCACATAACGAGCATCTTTTATTGCGATAAAAATGACTCATATCATTTACCCCGTCGTCACGTGTGAACCGTATGTCAGTCCGTAAATTGATATAAGGACATGTATAACCGTGCAATATGAAAGCCCTTTTATTGCCCCATTCTCATCCCTACGTCGTTCCTACGTCTTTCTTCATATGGCCCGCGCACAAGAAGCATTTTGCTAGTATGGTGCTAGAATGAGAATATTCTCCTTAATGCCTTCTTCTTCTTCAGCGACTCGAGGCGGTCTATTATCGAATATCCGAAGGCACAATAACGAGCTCGTTCTATTCATGAAGAGATCGTAAAAGGGGCGAATACAGAATGTATTTAAATACGTAGATATTGCTTATAGAATTCAATTCTCCTGAAGAAACGTAACAGTTTTTACGTAATGCATTTTGCATAATTGCAATATGTGAAATTGGACGCATAATGGGGTGCGCGAGCGAGAAAAAAGAGAGCTTTTCAAAAATAATTTTTTTTATTTGTTTTTGCAGATGCCACCGGCCAAGAGATAGCCTCTTTTCGTGGAGCTCCGGCTTCGATAACTTCACAGGATTCGTCAACTGGGGCTTCCTACTGCTGAGCATGGGCGGTATCCGGTTACTGCTGGAAAATTTCATAAAGTGAGTATCTCGAATTGCCGATAATGCTCTGCTCTTATCTAACGGACGTAGTATATACAGGGTGTTCAAAAAGTCCCGGACCGGTGAAATATCTCGAAAACTAAGCATTTTAGAAAAAAATGTTTCAGATAAAAGTTGTGGCGTTTAAAAAGATGTATTTACTGATCACATCAGTTTGACCTTGGGTTGCGTAGCGAAGGTCAGGTCAAGGTCACATTAATTTTTTTA